AGGAGGAGACTGGACCTGCCTGGACTTAGTCTATCAGGTCGATCCCAGTCCTCGGGGGAGACCTTGATCTGGAGGAGGTGGGAATGGGGGGTGGGCTGGGGGGAAGGGGAGGGGGGCAGGAAGGGGGAGAACAAGGGAATCTGTGGCTGTTATGTAGAACTGAATAGTATTGTAAAATAAAATAAAAAAAATAAAGAAAAAAAATATGTTTATTAGCAGCACTGGGCCAGGCGTGGAGGCGCACACCTTTAATCCCAGCACTGGGGAGACAGGCAGGCAGATCTCTGTGAGTTCGAGGCTAACCTGGTTTATAAAGCAAGTTCCAAGACAGCCAGGACTCTGATACTCAGAGAAACCCTGTCTCAAAAAGCCAAAAATTTATAGATACAGATATAGATGTAAGTAAGGTCGTTGTCATTTTGATGAATTTCATAAACCCTTTTTAAGTATACATTTGACAACATTTACTCTGTCTTTAAATCCTTCACTTTCTTCCCTCCCACTTGTCTCTTCCTGTTCTAAGATACTCCCACTTCACTTTCATGTCATACACTTGTTTACATATGTAAACGCTTTTACCTGCAAAAACTGGGATTCACATATGAGAAAACAGCAATGTTTGTCTTGCTTTTTTCACTTAACATAGTGATCAGCAGTTGTACCATTTCCAGGCAAATGGCAGTATTTCATGCGCGCGCGTTTGTTTGTGTGTGTGTGTGTGTGTGTGTGTGTGTGCAGGTAGGCAGGAGTATGAAAGTCAAACTACAATGTTGGCTGTCAATCCTTGCCTTCCATCTTGTTGGAGACATGGTCTCCTTGTTGTACCAGTGACCTGAGCTTCTGGGGATTCTCCTGTGTTCTCACATGCCATCATAGGGTACTGGGATTAGAGACAGGCACCACTGGGCCTGGCTTTTGCATGAGTTCTGGTAAGTCTCACTCAGGTCTTCAGAAATGCAGGCAAACACTTTACCCACAGACTGTCTCCCCAGTGCCACCATAGTTTCATTCTGTATGGCTAAACAAAACTATTTTGTATATGTACCACATTTCCTCCATCCATTTATCTCTTAGTGTACACTTAGGCTAATTCCAGAAGTTGGCTGTTGTGAGTAATAACACAATAAACATGGATGTGGTGGTATCTTTGGAGTATATTGGTTTGTATTTCTTTGTGTGTATTGCCAGGAGTGATATCACTAAATCAATATGGCAGTTCTGTTTTTAGTTTTTTCTACATTGGCTGAGTTGATTTACATTCTCATCAGCCGTGTTTAAAGATTCCCATTTCCACAAACAGCAATATTTACTATTTTTTTCTTCATTTTTAAAAACCTTGGGGGCTGTCTATGTGTTTATGTGAATGTCTGTGTTTGTGTAGCAAGTATGAGTGTGGCACGTGGACACCATAGGACACCTTGGGTGTGTTTCTTGCCCTTCCACCTTGGTTTTAAATGTTGTCCCATAGATCTCTCATGTTCTGCCTTTCTTGTTACTTTTGACTGTTCTAATTCATCTACATTGTTTCCAGGACTCAATGTTCTGTCTTCCATTTGATCTGTTTTAGTGGTAAGGATTTTTATTTGATATATTGAGATTTTGTAAAATTTCTGTTATCTGTTTTTCCCATTTTCATGTGTGCAGTGTGCATGCCTATGTATATGCATGTTTGCATTGTGTGCAAATGAGCATGCACATGTTGAGCATGTAGAGTCCCAGAGTCCCAAGGATGATATTGAGAATCATCCTTAACCACTCTTCACCATTTTCATTTTGAGGCAGGATCTCACTAGGTATCTTGCTCTGAGGATCCCCTCTCTGCCTTCCTTCCAGGCTGGAAGTCCAGGTGGCCCATCCAGCATTTACATAGATTCTGGGTATCTGAACTCCAGGCCTTACGCAGGGCAAGCCATCTCTCCAGCCCCAATGTTTCTATTTCTTTATTGAATTCCCCTTTCATAACCTATACTGTCTTCCTTATTTCATTCAACTGATTACTTTTCTTTGAAATCATTCAGGAGTTTACTTACGTCATCTTTGAATTTATTGAACATTCTTACAAGCGTTCTGTTGAGTTATCTGAGAGTCCGCGTACCCAACTCTCAGTGGAATTCGGTACTGTAGAATGAATATTTTCTGAACAAGTCACATTGCTTTGATAGTTCTTGTTTCTAGTGCTTCTGTATTGGGACTTTTCTGGGGTGGGGTTCATGACTAGGTATTTTAATCACCCCTGTTCTTTCAAATTGAAGTGTTTTC